GATTTGCAGCGCCACTAACGTCGTGCTAGGTACCGTGTCATGGATCGCCTTGCACCTTACAGCACTGCCATCAGCTGATTGGTTAACCATCTGTTTTACTATTGCATTCTCGTCGTGAGAAAGCAATTTTATGTGGGCGGCGACATTTTCCTCTTGTTGGAGAAGTGTGGAGAAATGTGATAGGGAGAAAGCACATAGCATGCTTTCCCCCTCTCCATACCCACACACTCGGGGCAGAACACCAGATTGGTCTTTGAGCCAAGGGAGCGTCGGACACGTGGCAGATCAGCCTTACAGGTACGCATTGGCGTTGTTGTTTACGCCAGTACTTACGCGTTTTGTTTTCCTTGCAGGCATCGCGGCCCAAGATGGGAAATAATGGGAGCGACGAACAAAACGCGACCGCGCACTTTCACTTTCGCTTCGCGTGTGTGTGTGTATGTGTATGTGTATGTGTATGTATGTGTGTATGTATGTATGTATGTATGTGTATGTGTATGTGTGTATGTATGTGTATGTGTATGTGTATGTGTATGTATGTATGGATGTGTGTCTGTATGTATGTATATACTAGAAGCCATACATATTCAAACCCTAAACTTCGCCCATTCAGATTTATTTCGAGGTCATAAAACCAGATTTCGAATACACTGAAAAGAAAAAAAGCTACTTAAAGCTCACTTAAAGCGAATAGCTCAAACAAACTGAAACAATTGAAGCTTCAGATAAAAAGCTTGCTATGCAAATACCTTCCTACAATACAAATTAAGAAAAATTCCGGAATTTCGTGCTTAAATCAAGTAAAACCCATTTTAGCGAGAGCTTTTAAAATGGAAATAAAATTCACTTTATATAATCAAATTTTGGAGTGCAAAAAAGTTCAATCAACTTGCCTTTGATCTGGTTTATTACCTAATTTTACTAATTCTAAGCCCGATAAAAGAACAAAATCAATCTTTATCGACTTTTAAGCTAAGAACAAAATGGCGATAATTTTTGGCGATCAATTCGTTAATTATCTTTATTTTCAATCTAGCATTAAAGTTAAGAAAGCAACTCTTAAATCAAACTCAATTTGTTCCTAAACCAATACTAGTTGACTTTAGTACAAGATTAATCTGTTCGGAATCAAGAATTTTAATTCAGAAATATTAAAATTGAACTGAAGCTTGTTTTGTGTTAAGAAATCGAAATGTTAAAGATTTATAAGCTGACCAAAATGTTAAAAAACTGACTTCTCGCTCCGATTATGAAGTTACATTTGTCATATTGATCGCCTTCGTTATTAATGGTAATTGCTTTTAAAAAAATGTTTTAAATAAAGCAGAAATTGTTAGCCGCTATCATGTTTGGCTAGGATTGTTTGTGAGTAACTTTTTAAAATATCTTCAGAAAGTAGGAATAGCATAGAACCCAATTGCATAACTTTCTTACGGTCTGTTGTGACCGCACTTCAGTGGCTGGAGCATGGGCATGGGCACGGGCACGGGCTAGGATCCCGGTCTCCGGTCTTCGGTCCCGGTGCTCAACGACATCAAATAAAGTTCTGCAGTTTTTGTGCACTTGGATGTCAACACATCGACACATAACGGCACATTCGTCCAATTTACACACACACACACACACATACACAGACAAGTTGGTCCTGTGGCAGGCAAGAGCCACTCCAAGGACTTCAGCGCCAGACAAGCAGCGTCGTCCTCGAAGTTGAGCAAACTTGAACTTTTGTGGTCCGGCCAGCTGCTGACTGTTGCACAGTCTCCCACAGCCGTATTCATACTGCGTACCACCTATATACATATATATATATATATAGACCTATATACAATTTTGTGTGTGTGTGTGTGTATGTGTGTGTGTACATCAAAGCGCTGCGCCCACAACATTTTTGGCAAGTGCGCGCATTGCTTGGGCTCTAATTACATGTTGGCCTAGAGGAAAACTCGAAACTTGGCGACTGTGGAAAACTCGACTTGAGCATGCGTTGCGGTTTTTCATTTGCATTCGCTTGGACGAACTTAGTTTCCCAACGACTTTTAAGTGAATGAATTGTGTTGAAGTACTTTCTTCTCTCTTTCTCTCTCTCTCACACTCACTCTCTCTTTTTCGGTTGCAGCGAGCATAATTACATTTGGAGCGTCTGTGCGAAGTAGTCGTATCTATATATTATTTATGATTTCCACAGTTTTTCTTCCGAGAGTGTCACCAGGCGTCGACTGTGCTGCTGCTGATAATTTCAGTCGGCTAGGCAAATTCACAGTGAGCCACAGAGTTCACGGTTTAGTGAACAACAACAATTTTCTAGCCATGAATGCATCCGGTATAACCAAAACCCCTGCTTCCTCCCCACCCCACACTGCCCCGCTGTTGCCCAAGAATGCAGCGTTGCTGCGACTGTTTCGGTTTTCTTATGCGCCAACTTTATGTGGGGTGAAGGAAAATCATTTATCAATGTCAGAGAATGTGCTGCATGCACGAGAAGTTGTGTCCTGATGGCGGCGGGGCTGGTGGCTGCTTCCTTCAACAGCCTAAACTCTGATGGGTGTATGTGTATGTGAGTGTGTATGTGTGTGTGGGTGGGTGGGGGTGTGTGCCAAAAAACTTGCGACTTTGTTTCACAAGTGATTTTGAAAATTATGCACACGCATAAATGCGCTCGTTCGTTTCAAGCCTGAAAACTTTGAAACCATTTTATCAATACATAATTCAGAAAACAAAGAAACAATAAAAACAAGAAAGCACGTCACTCCGCAGACGAAATACCCTTCCAGACATATGGCTTTACGATCATGCACATATGTCAGCAGAATAATGCAGCTTGTAATTGTAAGATCTGGAGCTAATATCTTGAAAAACAGATGATTTTTTATACAAAAACTCCTATACGAGTGCCTGTTCCTATAAGATATGATTTTGTAGTCCGATGTTTATAAGAAGGTGAGTAAAATACTCGAGATATCTTAAAACAAAAAAATTTCGATACTAAAACTCATTTTCCGGCCAATCCTTATTCGACTGATTAATAATGCAGAGCCATATGGCTTAGTAGTCCGATATTGAGAAGATTAGGTGCATATGCAAGGAGCATAGTAAAACTTACAAATGCCAAGTTTGGCAAGATATCTAGATAAAAGGAGATTTTCTATAACATCTTAATATTACACTGATCTTTCCTATGGCAACTGTTTGATAAAGTGATCCTATATAAATAGGATGAGTTAGAAGCAAAGTACAACTAATAAACGCAGGGCTTGGTAGACATATTATTATCTATTAGATTCTTACCCTTTTTTTTCTTGTTATGGTTGCGATTGGCTTAAAAAACCTGCCCCTCATATTTCTTTTCTTCATCATCGTAAGTTGCAGTAACACATGCAGGTAATTGTATATACTCCTGTTTCTCTTCTTAACAGGTATCGCTTAATCAAGGTATCTTGAAGAACTATAAAGTGTTTATACAAGATATTTGTAGACCGCTCGGTCTTATGACAGCTATATGATATATGTAGTTGTTCAATTCGGTTGGTCTCGACTTAGCAGAAAGACGGACCTATCCACGCTATAATATCTACTTTCGATCCCAATCAAGAAATTATATATACTTATTGGAGTCACAGCTGTCTCTTTTTGTTCTTTACATGTTTTATGACAAAATTATAAGACCCTCTGCAAGGGCAACAAATGGCTGAACAGCACGCATAGCGCTTGTAGATTCTGGATTTGTTCATTTAGTTGGTTATTTGATTTGTTTTTTTTTTGTTTTGTTTCTTGCGATTTCTCAGCTTAATGTGGGCGTTTGCTTTTGTCTTGGTTTATGGCAGAAAACTTTAGCACTTAGCCGCAGAGCGCAGAGCGCAGAGCGAGCTGCAGCACACAGTCTGTGCTGCAGAGTGTAGAGTGCTGCTTTGAAGTGGCGTCTCGTAGCGGCATTCGTTCTTTTTAAGCGGTCGAGCGGCGCTTCTAATTCTCTGGCCGCCACTTGTTTGCTGGCGAAACAAGTTTGCACTCGAAACTCGTAAATAATGAATGGGGCAAAAGCGCAACCGCACCATTCATAATGGAAAAAGTTGCCCCGTCCACTCAAAACTATTGCACTTGCCACAAGCCGACTACTCTTTGGCCAGTCTACGGCTCTGGTCCCAGCCCGGTCGCCTGCATCCTGCATCCTGCATCCTGCAACGACGTTTCCCTGCCCGGCTACAGCATCGGCAGCCGGCGGCGTTATTGTCATGTGTACAGTAAAAATAACAAATAACAAACACTGGGCGTGCCAGTACATGCCATAAAGGGGCCGTGTTTGTGCATTGACGGCTGTGGCCTTGATGCGGTTGCATGCCCCATGCAACCACCCCCACCCCCACTCCCACCCCCACTGACCACTGGCCAAGGTTAAAGTTGCCATTTTAATGCTGTATCTGCTGTTGTTTATCTTAAAAGCGGCACAGGGCTTTGCTTTTCATTTCAATAGCTATTTGTATGGATATTTTGAGAAGGAAATTGAAATTTCGTTTAGTTTATCGCTGCGATAAATAACTGGGCTAGCTTTAACTATAACCAGACAATGCTGGCCGCAGAGCCAGCTTATTGAAAAATATTCACCTCTTTATCATAATTCTTGTTATTTTTGAAGGTTCTGAGCTTGTTGATATATAAAACACAAAGTACTTAAGGTGTGCACAGCAGAAGTTAGCCGTTCGTTAATACAATAAAGTATTGAATACGTCCAAGCAGAACGCCGAAAACTAGGCAACATTTAATGGTAAAGTTCAATTTCATTTAGAATTAATTTGAAAAGCAATATATATATTTTATTACCAAGAAACAAAAAAAAATTATTGCATAATTAACAATTAACTAAAAAATACTTATTCGCCAGGTTTTTAACGATTTAAAAACTTGTTAAAATTAAATTGAGTGAAATTTTTACAAATTGATTTTTCGACATAATCCACGAGCCAAAGAACTCTTATCTTATCTTATATCTATAATAAAACACTTACCTAGCTTAACTCTGTGATTAGGCGCTTTTTAAAAATCTCCAAAAACTTCCGCAAAATGGTTGGGATTTTCGCAAAAGAAACAACTTAATTAAAAATGACGCAATCGAAACCCAGAACAGAGCAGAACACAAAAAAAAACTGAAAAAACCGGATGAAGGTTGCTTAAAGTCTGCGCTTCGAGCGGAAATTGGAATTCACACACACGTCGTATAACAGATGTCGCCACAGCACATTTCCCTGTAATGGCACACTATATATATTTGTATTTGTGTGTGCGTGCTTGTGTGTGTGTGTGTGCGAGTGCTTTGTGCTGGGAATATTGTGCCGTAATTATTGTAGTATTTTGACTTTAGTTTGAATCTTTTGCGGATTTAAATGCATTTAATTTATGTGGCTGCTTGTGTGCGCATATTTACATTGGGCGCTTTCAACACGACGTCCGCTTGGACATTGCGGCGGGGAAATGCGGGCAAATGGAATATGGCTATGAATGCAAGTTGAGTAAAGGGGAGCGGGGTGGGTGTTCGGGCGATTCGTAATTGCCACACACGTGCACAAAACTCGTATTTCGAAAATCTCAGTTTGCCGGCCCACACGAGACACGAAGCCGACCGAGTCCACCATGCGATTCAAATGTAACAAGCAGACTGAGTATGGCTCAGCAGCGGCAGCTGCAACAGCAACAGCAGCAGCAGAGGCGGCAGCGGCGGCGGCGGCAATATTGCCGACGAGAGCATAAATAGCAGCAGCGACAGCTGTAACGAGTAGCCGACGCGCATCGGCCTCAACACTGCCCACAACAACCGCCAATAAGCAGAGAGCGAGAGAGGGAGAGAGAGAGAGTACGCCTCTCACCCACTCGCTGTAACAGCAGCTCGTGCGGTAATTGTGCGCAAGCGCCTGCTCTCTCGTCTGCTGTTATCGTGGTGAATACGCAGCTCTGTTAAAAGGAGCAACAGTTTGGCGTTGCGTTGGCTCTGAACAACTTTTGTTTTCTTTCTGGGGTAGAGCTGGGGTAAAGCCTAAAGAACCTTAAAAATTAAATAAACTAAAGCTTACAATTGCTAGGCATTTTAATTTTCAATATATATGGATCATTAATACATTTTCGAATAAATAAAAGTGGAGTTTGTGCTTATAAGCTTAGGGTGCACATTGAAAATATTGCTGTTAATTATTATCCGCTGTAATGTTAATGGTTATATTTGCTGTTAAAACTCACCCCTCTTGCTATAATTCTGTTACTTTACAGTAAACGCCGACTGTCTTACCTCGACAGCGAACATAACGTCATAGTTAACAGATTCAAAACTGTAATTAAAATCTGCTATTGCTAGACCGCCGTATAACCATTTAAAGTAAATAATCAACTCTTTTAACTAAAGGTGAATTATATCGATGTCTTCATTCAATAATTCTCTAATAACTATTGATATTCAATATTTGTGTTGTTAAAAAATGTATTAAACTACAATATATTGTGTTAATGAATGCTTTATATGCCTTGCTTTTAAACAATTAATATTCAGTTTTAATATTTCTGTGTACATTATGATAAACGTTCCTGTTAGTGCCTAGCTTAATTCTTGCAGTCTTGCTTTTCGAATATACATTTATTTGGATACCATATTTGATAGCGTGTGAGTGGGGGCAGAACGAACACAACCTCTGCAGAGAAGAAGAGTATGCCTTCTTGTTCAAAGCTGGCTACAGGGTATTTCGTAACTCTACTTTTGCTAATTTCAATTATGGGAACATTTTGCAAGATAATAGCGAAACTAAATTGGATTCAATTGGATTAATTGAGTTTTGCTTGGGTCTTGTTTAAAGCCAGAGCCTCTTTCTCGCATGAATTCCATAATGATGTGCGGATAAACTACTCGCAGGTCATGATTTGTTTGGATTTGCCCTCGAAGTTGGCATCCATTAGCTTGATGCAGTGCATCAACGTGATTTGTCGTTCACCTGCCTCGGCTCCGGTGATTACTGTTATCACATTTTGTGAATCTCTCAGATGAGCGAGCTTAGCGTAAACATAATGCAACAGATTGCTAAGCAGGAAAGCTTCTTATCATCCCAACACTTTTGGGCTCTTATGAAGTTCAACAAATTATTGTGAATGGGATTGCAGCCCCGCCTCCCTGCCATTTGCCTCCCTGCCTCCCGCTCCATGGACTTGTTTTGTTTTTTGGGGTTGATTTGTATGCAGCGCTAAAAGCTTGAAAAATGTTTTACCCGCACGTGTTTCCTGCGCTTTGATAGAACGCACACACACACACACCCACACACACACATTCGAGACACATTATATAAAATAGAATGTAAAGAAAAAGCACAACAATGAAATGCCAGTTGGGTTTGCGCTGCCAGCGACATTCACATTACAATTTCCAAGGGTTTAGGGCTTAGATGCGGGCTGCGCGGGCTGAGCAGGGGGCGGGGGGAGGGGCGCAACCCTTGCGTTTGGCTTGGCGTGTGACAGTTTTCGAGTAGAACAAAATAAAAAGTGTTGCAATTTTTATTTGGTACATTGCAGATTTTGTCGGGCACACTGTGTGGCACATTATGGTTACTAATGAATGACTGGGAAGTACGACGCGGACATCCCCCCCCCCCACCGCCCTCTCTGCGCGGGAGAGGGGGCCTTGAGCGTTAGTCGAATGACTTTTGTCTGCGCGCATTTCTGTTTGACAGCGGGGAGTGCTTGCGCTCTTTCCCAAGCTCCGTACGCAGTGCAAATTTTCCGGGCTGCATTTTCGAAATTGAATCCTGCGAGAATGCGCGCAGACAAACATCTAAATTGTCAACGTAATGCGACAAAATATCGAAGTCAGCGGGTAAAGCCAGAGCCAAAGCCAGGAACAGGAACAGGCACCAGTCAGCAGGCAGCAGGAGGCAGGCACTAGGACACTAGCCAACGGTAAGGAGTAACACCTGCCAGGACATCTCCTGACGCCTTGTCGCTGTGACTCAATTCAGTTGTGTGTGAAACTTGCCAGGCACGAATTCAATTTCGCGTCCACAGATGCCATTCACCTTCGGCACGTACAACTATCAACGTCAACAAGTTACACACAGCGCGGCGCGGCGTGGCGAGGGGGCTGTGCAGCGAGGGTGCAGGGTCCGGAAAGGCGTGGCAAACTAAAGTGGAAAACAGCAGTCAGACAATACAATTGCTTCCTTGAATGCATCTGCCGCCTCCACTACGTCCTTGTCGCTGTCATCCCATTTCCGCTGAAATTGTGAGACGTTTCCTCCTTCCTCGCTCCTCGGTCCTCAGGCGAGCCGTGGAGTCGATTCCCTTCCACACTCTCCTTGTTAGTCACCATGGTGAACGCTTCTGATGCTCCTGACATTTTATACTGAATTATTTATTTAGTTTTGCTTTCTCTATGTGCTCATTACTTCCTTTTTTTAATACCCTGTACTTAGGGTGTTTGCTCAAATCGGTTGGATTGGTTTGTAAAAGTTGGTGGAATTAGTACATAAAGAAATTGCCTGAAAATTATGTTGATTAGAAAATTAGGAAGTTTGGGCTTTTTTTTTAATATTCTTATTATTTAAAAAAAAAAGATTCCAGACAAGGCTATTATATTTTTTCGAGCTTATCTCATCACAGCTTTTATGTTCCAAGAATTTAAGAAAAACCTTAAAGATATTAAAGAAAATTTATTTACAAACTTTAAATAGAATTTAAGATTACTAAAACAAGACTTTAATAAAAATTCCTTGTATAGAATCCACACAAATTTAGTTAATATCACATTTGCTGATAATATAGTTAGTTTAAGTATTTACTATTTTTATTTTACATATAATTTTGTTTTATAAGTTATTTACAATATTATTATAAAAATTCTATAAGAAAAGATGTTCAACTTTGCGTTTCCCCAACGGTCACATATTGAGCAAAAAATATTTTCGATTATAGTTTTTATAAGTAGAGGGTATTTGCTAGTCAGGCATGCTTGCCTGCAGCACAATTGCTTGAGCTTTTTGTCCGCAAAGTTGTGTACGCAGTTTGACATTTTTATTGTGCTGCGTTAAATTTGCAGACGACAAAGTCAAGAAGGCTGAAATATAAACCAAGTCCACGCCCAGGCGATCGCTTACGAGTCTAATTAAATATATGTATGTAGTACATATACTATACACAAATATATGTGTGTTCATATCGATTTATGTGTAGTTGAGGACTTAGCGCCAAATGAAATTGAACAAAATGCGGCTCTCAATCTGTTTGATTACCTCTGAGATTTGTGACGTCGCAGCTCTACTAAAATTAAATATGACTGTGAAATATTTTCAATTTGTGGACACGAAAACTTTTATTCGTCGTACTACGTACATTTTGTTACTGGCTTTTCGGCACCCGTGGGAAATTTCCTAACAGAAAATAAAAGTTTCTGGTCAAGTGAGTGCAAAACTTTTAAGTGACGCACTTTTTTCTTTTTTCTCTCGCCCCCGCCTTCCGCTGCTCTCCTTTGGGCACTTGGGACAGCGTTCTAGGTGGTAGAGTGGAAGAGGATTATTATGGATGGAGTGTACAATTTATAATAAGGCTTGACTTGTGTGCAACAATTTGTGGCTCTGCATGTGTGGACTTTGATTACAGCTGTTGATTAGATTGGGTCGGGCTACGTGTGCCCGACACTCAAATCCCTAGAAATATAGAGCTCCTAATTTTCAAATTCTTGTCCAAACAATTGCACAAAAGTCAACTGATTTCCTTGTGGAGTGTCTAGGTTGATGAGCTTTCTAAATTTCAAGTTGACAACTCGAACTGTGAGCAAATTTCATACCAATTATTTAAGACTTTTTCAAAAAAAAAACGCACACCTAAACTTCTCTCCTGCTCTACAAAGCAATCAGCTTTTACTCTTAAGGTCACAAAAACCAAAATCAAGTGAAAATTCAAAGTTTAAATTGCCAGTGCTGAAAACTGAAATTTACAGTGCGGCTCCGTGTTGAGTAAAATGCGCTTATCGTTTGTTTTCCAACACTATTTGTATAGCTTGCAATGCAGTGCTGCGCAAAATAGTCAACATATTATTAAACAGATCTCGAAAAACATAAATAAAGTACACAAATTAAATTGTTTTTATTTTTACTTTATTTTTAGGTAAGTTCCTATTTAATTGGAAAAATACATTTAAACGCGTTGAACAACTAGATAAAGGTGAGTCGAGCTTGTTGTTCAGTAAATCGTTGAGATCTTTGGTTAAGCTCGGCACAGCCGCAGAAAATTCAGATTTCAGTGCAATAAACAAATTCGTAATTGCCTTGTAATGCCTTGTGTTGACAGGCGTCCGACAAACAGATAAGGCCCTTTCAGTCAGAGGGAAATGGAATGCTGCAGAGAGCAACAAGATGGACGGTTTATCATGTGTGTGTGTGTTTGTGTGTAGGTGTCTATATATGTATGTGTGTGTGTGTGCTTGTATGCTGTTGCAGAAATTAGCATAAAACTTCGATTTCGCCAGCGCACATTGCGGCCAACGTAAATGGCGAATGGGCAGAACGAGGCGCAAAAACGTATTTGCCAGCCTACAAATGGCAATAGATTGCCGGCCATAAACCCAAACGGGCTTATATGGCATACGTACGAGCATAGAACGTAAATGTAAAGATGTA